AAACCCTAGCAAATTTCGGAAAATAAATAATAAAAATAAAAAAACTCCTAATATTTAGGAACGTCCTCCAACAAACAGAATCAAAATCCGAATTTTATTGAATGAGATATTACCAAAATAAAAATTACCATAAACGGTAAAAACGCTTAATTGATGGCCTAAACGATGGAATTTGCCCAAAATTTGACGTGCATCAGGGTCAAAGGCCCTGAGTTGTGATCATTGTGCCTTTTCCAATCAAATTAGACTAGAAATTCGTCAAAAACGAACAAATTCGAAATTAAATGAAATTATTATTTTGCCTTCATCACCCACGCACAATAAAATATTCGTGGACCTCTCTCCATGTGAGAGGGGTGTAAAGCTGTGTGTACATCACATAGCATTTTTCTTAAAAAAATCATTTGGTTCCATTATAAAAAAAGGCTATTGGTTAATAGTTTGATTCGATTATCTTGGAACCAAAACCAAATGAAATCGTGCCAACCCTTAATTGATTCTCTCTTTCAAAATTAGATAGCACAACTTTTCCCCAAGCAATATCTGTTTCCCATATATACACCTCGCCTCTTCTTTTCTAAGTTAAGTCATCATATAGGTTGTCTTCATTGTTTCTCTTGTGAAGTGGGCTTCCAAGCAAGTGGTGAGAAGTTCTTTCAAATGAAATCTTGTAGTTGCAATAATCACGGGACAACGTGTCATGGACCGCAACTTAGCATGATGCTAATGTCCATGACGATTGGATGGGGACGATGGAAAAAGTTGGTATGACATGAGGATAAAGATAGTCATAATAACAGCAAGTTCGTGCAATCAGTAGATAACCTTAGCAATGGAGTTTCAGGAAGACACTTTACGAAGAGTTTACCTAAGGAATTAGGAAGCTTCCCACCAAGGCATACGACAATCGGAGTCTATTTGGTTAGGAAACGTAGAGGCCAGAGGAAACAACGTCACACATTGAAATTGTCATAATTTCAATATATTGCAAGGGCAATATCTCAGAGATCGTATATCCGATGGGATTGAAACTTTGTGAATTTCATATTGATGATATTAGCTTCGTTACAAATCAAACGGAACGTCATTTGGAGGTTGAAAGCATGAGATATTAAAATTATGATTTCTCCATCAAAATAGACAACTCATATCACTTGAATTTTTCTTGTTAATTCTATAATAAGGGGAACATGCTTGACAATTAGTTAACTAGACCTCCCCATGATTTCGTCCCCATGAAATGGCAGCCTCTAAGCTAATCATATACACAAAATGTGCAATCCTTAGAGGCGATAGGGGCAACTAAGGAAATACTTTAGGCACCTCAAGGGAGGGCTAAAGTACTTGTATGGGGTCGAGAACCCAGCGAGTGGCTTAGGCCTTTGTTGGGCACCAAAAGAGACCTAAGGTTACTGGTAAATCAATTCCATGCTTCGAGAGCTACGATAAGGATATTGTAATGCCTTTAACAAAATGAGCTATCAAAGAGAACACTCTAAAAGCCTCCTATGTTAACCTGTGTGCATTATAGCCTTGTCCTGGAGTCCATTGACTAAAAATGCAATCATGGGTCAATGTCACATAGTTAAGCAAATGAGGCACGATGCCTATATTGTGGAAACGAGTGTGCTATGAAGGCAGTACTTCTGTTAGCCATTGATTAACGGATGACCCTACTTGGACTAGTCATTGGCGAAGGGCATTTCAGTACGAGGTGAGCTAAAATTTCATAAAAGGTGACAAGCACAAAGATTGCATTGTGGGGCATGCAAATGACCTTCAGTGCTTCAGATGAAGCTAGGAGAGCTCCTTTTCATCAACTGTGCTTGAGAGGATTGTATATTGGGCATGAGCCAATGGGCAGACTACATAAGTCAGATT